GAACTACATTCAATTGTAAACAAAATATTTGTTTCTGACTGCCACATGGCAGCAACATTGGCATATTAAGTGTTAAGGTCTTTGACACAATATTTCAGGTTCAGGCTAGCTATAGATGCCAGACAGGATCCTTACAATTAACATGCAAGTGACAAGACATAAAATGTCCTCTTTAGCTGGTAATAAGAATGGCATATATATACTTACAATTTTATAGCCTTAAGTTCCTCAAAATGGACATTCTTGTTTCTGCAAATTCGAGTTACATGAGTGATGTCATGGGTTCTCAAGCTTGATTACACATTTCAAAATTGCACTGTAATTTCGACAATATTCCTTGTGCAATTATATCCTCCTTACTGCACTAAATATGAAATGGACATAAATTCCACAGCGTCCTGTCGATAAGTCGATAAATGCAATTGAAAGGATTCATATTTTTTCCACACTATGATTTGAAACATTCAATTACAGAACGAAAACACACTTGCAAATGTCAACGGCTTCTCCCTTGCTGCTTCTGTCCGATGTATATAAATCACGTAGAATTGGCACAGACGTTTCTAGAATCTGATGTAAATTACTTCATATAGATAAATTCATTCCATAAACACGAAGGTGCGTGGAAGTGACAAAGGTACGAAAACGTATTCATTCAAGATCAAATGGAAAAGTTAACTCCAAATTTCAATTGTAATTAGCACAGAACGCCATTTTCTTTCAAATCTTATGTCTACGCGCGAACCAGTTCAAATTTATCTAGGCGGATTTACATGCGTGCGCCTTAATAATGTTGTGCAATGATGAATCTGCATTTGTGTGTTTAGTTTGGAATACGGCATATATTAAAAAACTTTATTTCTTGTAGTGTAGTTTTATTTATATATTTAAGCCTTAAGTAGGCTAAAACAATTAACATAATTAAAAGGTTACTGCATTTGTATTGGCAATTATGAACTCGTTTTGTCGGATGTATATAGTGCACTCCAAAGGTCATGCCATATATCCATCCGAAAAACTTGTTCATATTTTCACATATAAATACAGTAACCTATAAATATGACTTTACGGTTTCTGAACATTTATCCAGGAATTGAAAAATATAAATCCTAGCACTGAACATTTCTAACTGAATCTAGGTTCGAATCTCGACATAATTCTACTATAGAAGGCCATGACGTCAAACGAAGTCGTTGTAGTGATGGCAGGAAATCCTCGTTGAATCATAGTTTATAATGTTCCTGTTTAGAATTCCAGAATAAGTTTTCACTGAATATCTTTCTTCCAGAACTTTTATAAAATAGAAGCACTTGTACAGTTTTCCAGAGAATAAATTATTAAATCCCAAATAAAAAGATGAACTTTAAAAAAATCTGACATCAACAATTCAAACACTTTATGCCACAAAGTAAACCATCTTTCTTCACACACAATTTTAGATCACAGGGTGGCTCACCTGCCGGGTTACGTAACCAGTAATTTAAACAGCATAGTAAAATAATGTAGGCTAGAATTGCCTTATCATAAAGTAATCAAAATATCACTCTGGACAGAGAAAGAGAAAGGCTGTTTACACTTTAGGCAATAATTGGGGAGACCATAACATTGGTAGTAGCCGATAGTTTTCACTGTTTAAAAACATATGAACCAAGGTGAGATACAAATGGTTCTTAAGTAACTGTTACATTCTAATCAGATCAAATTACGTTTTCGGAAAGAGATTCAAATCCAATGAAAATTATTATTACAATAGCATGTATTGAAACAAATATAAAAAAAAGAATTTTAAAGTAACAAACAAGCTATTTAAATTACATATACCTAACGAATGAAAAGCGAATCTGATTATATTAGACTAGTCTTTCAGATCACAAACAAAGCTTTGACTGTACAGGAGAATGTTGTATCCATCTCTTACAAATATAAAAAACCAAAATACAGTACATTATTGATTTATCGTGTGAAGTGCATGTCCATAAATTTAACAGCGTCCTCGTTAACAAAGTGCAGAGCCTGCAATCCACCGTTGAATTATGTCATTGGATAATTGTGCACAATGTGTGACATGTCCTGTAGAGCCCCACAGCTACAGGAAAAATCAGTGACCTATCAGAACTGCACAAAGACCTGTCATGAAACGCTTCAGTGTCGTCCATATATGTCGTGGAAGTTTGGAGTGAGGAAGACAGACAGATGGAGCAGCTACGATGGAGTGGTTTAGAACATCTGTTGAAGAGCACTCATCACTTCTTGCGAAAACAGCTGTCAGATCCTCCGAAAGTGGACCTATCCTGATTGGATGTCTCGAAGCCAAGTGGACTACCGGATGTCAAAAGATATTCATGTAAAGAGGAAGTTTCTCGTTAGCATAAACCTTGGCCTGCAGTTGTGTGGTGCTTCCTGGTGGAGGAGATGTGAAGGAGGAATGTTTCTGAGTACAAGTGCAGATGTAAAGGAGTAGGACGCAGTGTTCTAGAGATTATATGCATTGTTGTGTTCATCTGGACGTCCTATTGGGTATAAAACGATCAAACCAAGACAGGAATATTCGGCTGTCGAATAACAGAGGTCAGTGATGATGTCTTGAAGGTCTGAAAGCAAGCGGCCCAGACTGAACGAGCCAGTTTGTGGAGAAGGTTGTTTCGGATGCTCAATTGTTCTGTAGGTTTCTTCAGGTCGTTCTAGAATGTGTTTCATTGCTGCCCATTGAGTAGGATACAAATCTCTCGGTTTGCCTTTGCATTGTTAAGAAGAAAGGCTCTAAGACTGTCTTTCTTGTATGCTTTCATGTAACAAACAAGCTATTTAAATTACATATACCTAACAAACGAAAAGCGAATCTGATTATATTGGGATAGTCTTTCAGATCACAAACAAAGCTTTGACTTTGCTTTAATGAAGACGCGACCTCTTGAGGAATTATATCATTTCCTTCAGGTTCCTTTTCACTACCTCCTCAATCTCAGAAAAGGAGGGATGCAGGTTAATCCGTAGCAGAAGTATCAGTGGGTGGGGGTGGGGTGGGGGTGGGGGTGATGACGCCTACAAACGTAGGAGGGTAATTTCGCGAAAATATGGCTTCCTATAAAAAATGAAAATACTATGTCAATAACGCCAAACCAAATCCTGTAATAACTAGGTTAGTTCATTTTTGTTATTTCATCTTTAGACGTTTGCATTTTCAAATATATTTACCTACCCGGACACTCAATTTTGTTGTCACCCTTCCTGCTTATCCAGTGTTGTGTAATTAATTTCTTGTTATATTAATAATAACTCTAACCATTGAATCTATCTCATCTAAACGAGCTCAATAGCGACTAGAGCCGGTTAACTACATGTCCATCAGGAGTCTAAGGTTAAATTTGCAGAGGATGCAGAACAGCTATTTGACACTTTTACAAAGGCTACCAAATGTCTTCTTCCTACGTTAGAGCTATTGGCTGAAGCAGATATAACCTAGAACAACGTAACTATTCGAATAAAACTTAAATATGAAATAGCTGTTGCTCAACTAATCCAAGAAATGCTTGATGGTATTGACCAAGATTGTTCTGAAATAGCTAACATAAAGGGTCGTATACCAGAAGCAGAATCAGAAAAAGAACGAGAACAAATATGAGTGATAACTGAAGTGAATGATACATTTATCGAACAGAGTTTTGCCCTCGTAAAAAAACTCGACGTGGAAAAATTATCTATGTCTACCGTCTAGTTTTGATCAGAGAGAACAAGTTTTGAGACCCTAGTACGCCTATGGTAATGAAAATCATGAAGTTTAGTACCAATGGATATTTCGTATATACCACTGAAATGATCGGGTCCGAAATAACAATACAATGTTTATCATATTTGATAAAGGAACAAATACCTAACATATGCCATTACAAAAACAACAATCACAAAAAAGGTAACAACAAAAACAACAATCACAACAACCAGGCAAAAGAACAAGTGAGGTATAAGAATGGGAAGATGCACGTTTACCCCCTGCGCCTCTAGCTGTTTTCACTCCTAGTACAGGTACCAGGGAGAAGTGGTCTTATTGCTATATGTCCCACCAACGTCCTTGCCGATGTTGAACCACTAGAAAATTTGATTGGCAAAAAACGAGCCGATAAAAATAACCTAGAAATCGTTAATGAAGCAGCTGCGGTTTGTCAGAGGTTATTTGCAGGCAGTATTGTTGATAATTACCACAGTGACTAAGGTTATACAGTTAGATCAATGAGAAGAAAATAAGACGATCATACATATTGGTCAAAGTAGACCGATCATTGTCATGGTGATAAATATGCGATTACCAGCCTATAAAATTACCTTTGGAGATGGGCTCGTTGATGTTGCTCAGGAACGATTCAGAAGGATAGCCCTAAACACAATACCGATTACAAAACAATTATCAATGAAAGTTATTGACGTTGTTCGTGATAAAGATAATGGCATTATTGTTGATGTTGCTAGTAAAGCATTCTCGGCAATCAATAATAAACTAAAACGATTAATACGCAGACCGCAAGATGTCTGACGTCAGCCAGCAAAAATACCTAGCACAGCAGTTATGTCTGCAAATGTTAGTAAAATAATAAATCAAGCTGCGAATAAAAAAACTAGACAGCCAAATCAGCGTGGGCGAGTTGATGTGCAAGTTCATGAATAAGCGGATATTTTTTTACCCGCTGAAGCATTTACTGAAGTGTAAGGTCAAGTTTTAAAAACAGAATACTGAAAATGGAGCTGATGTTAAGAATGGTTTTGTTAATTGTGAATGTACTGTGATTAAGATTTTAAAAGTAGCTTTAACAATTGTTCAGTCATATCGCTTACATGTCTGCAGTTTATAGTGATGTCTAGCACTGGAGAATCATGCCGCAGTCATGTAGTGCTTTTCCACCTAGTCTCATTATCCTGACACCAGGCAAACCAGTCCTAGCACTAACCTCTTAATGTTGATCGTCAAGCGTGGCTGCTGTTAGTACCATTTTTGTAAGTCTTTGGTATGACTCAACCGGGAATCTAACCCACGACCTCCCGCATCTGAGCCGGACGCTCTAGCCACTTGGCCACCGGAGCGGTTTGTTAATAATGGCATCATAACTTTGTTCGACAGTGCTATATATATCATTGATGGGAATAAATATTGAATCAAATCTGAAAGAGGGCGGCTTTGCCCCGACGATATTATGTCTAGCAATATACAGCGATGATTATTCAAGATCAGCTGATCCATCAACGATATTTGTGAAGAATATCTCTGGCAACCTTAATAACATACAGAATGACATACAACGACCAAAATATTACAGCTGCTGATGACGACGCAAATGTTGTTCCGGTGTTTCATGGTGCTAATTCAGAATTCAATTTATGATTCTTAGCAAGTCGATAAATGCTCAAAGATGAAAGTAGAATATTTTCATGTGCAATTCCACTGTCACATATCTTTGGATTTTGTAGAAATGTCGCAAAGGTTATATTCATAGCCAAGAGTACATTTGTACTTATGTGAAAGGCTACCGACAATACTGCAATGTGGCGACTTGCTGATGATTCTGGAAAAGCAATACTAACAACACTTTTGTTGTGGAGGCCAAACATGATTTCATCAGTCACAGAAGAACAACGGTTGCATCCTGTGATCAGTCAAGGCTGACGAGGACCACAAAGAGTGTAAAGGTACCACTAATGGCTTATTCACATGGCATATAGGATCATATGAAGCAGGTTTAACACAGCGAAATATATTTGTAGATTTCCAATATGCTGCACGAGCAAACTCACAAATACACACTACAGTTATATTTGACAAACGTGGTATTACTGAGGTTTCATTTAGAATAAATGAAATCAAAATCGTCGGAAGAAGATTAATTTGAGAATAATCATGCTGCACGCGCTTATCACTGGTTGATGACATTTATGGGACGTGATCAAAATATTGAATCTGGTCTACAAATATCACAACCAGATTTTACAACGCTCTATCTAATTATTACTTTTCGGTGGAACACATATTTATTTAGGCATTTCTGTCTTGATAATACATTTTCTAGCTCTTGTGGCATGGAGCTCTTGGTAGTTACCGAGAAATTGCTCTCAAACAAAACAGTATTGATTGAATGTGTTGGTGGATAAATCAGATATATTGAAGCCCAAGTGTAATGCATGTTTTTAAATTTGTGTAATATTATAATGTCATAAAATCATGTCAATGTCAGTCTGACTTCTGGTCAGATTAAAAAGCTGCAATTAGAATCAAAAAGGAACTGTGGAATAAAATTAATGCTGAAATTAGAACAGATCGCAAGTGGTCCAAATGGCCTATCTTTCACATAACGTTAACACATGCACTGCAATGACGCCAAACAATCAGCGACTGTTGTTAGAATTATGTTTTGCGAGTGCCATTAAAGGCGCAGTCAAGATGGTTGATAAATTTCCACTTCTTGCATCTGTGCCAGTTTTGGTAGTCGGTGCAATCTCAGATGTTGAAAAATCAGCTGTACTTGGTGTTGTTGGAAGTACCACAGAGATGGCATGAAATAAAACAGAAGGTCAATGACAAAATAGTTAAAAAATATCGATCCTTTCATTGATTAGGTCTAAGACTTCCAGGAACCCCTAATTTATTTTACGGCGAATAAACTTGGAAAGGTCTAAGACTTTCCCGGACACATCGTTGATTCTTCCAATGTCCCATTTTGATTTACTTGATCCTGCTAAGCAATTTAAATTCAAAACCTTCAGAGGTTGTTTTATGCGTGAACAATTATGAAAACATCCAAATGGTGTCGAGACCGATATCATTAATCTCGATGAAAGTTCTGGTTGATTACTGATTGGGTTGCATATGCGATTGATCAACGTGGAATTTTTTATTTTTATGCGTATTGTCTGGCAACACCGAAGGAGTTTTGAAAATATGTAGTCACAGCGCAAAGCACTGCAATCTGGTATTCAACATTAACAACAAAGACAATAACTGATCCACCAATATGTTGCCGTGAAGTACTTGCTGTACTCCATGCTGTGTCATCATCAAAGACGCCGCCTAATAATGTCGTGCACGAGTATACCACGAGATGGTCTAGCCATTCACATTCGTTTTAAACAGGTATTTGTGAGTATACAATGGTAGATTAAAATTTTTGGTAGATATTTTCAAGGTCTCAAGTCCCAAATATGCAAACCTTAAAGGACGAGCTCTCTAGTATTTCGAGTCTCGCAAATGTGGACTAAATTGATATTCATTTTCAGGATCAGCAAGGGCGGTTGAAGACTTGCAATATACCGTTGTCAGATATTATACTACGAGTTCCAGATAAGACCGAATGTAACTTAGTGTTATTTTTTAGAAACGGTAAAATTAAAAGATTGCAAGAATCAAATCTAACTCTCATGGTAGAAATTGCTGGACGGATCAGAAGAAATGGAGTTATTATGTATGGTAATGTCAATATGAGCAGAAATACAATTATCAATGTGAGAAAACCAAATTCAGACAATATGCCAATAAAATATACGTATAGAGTAAAATCAACACGATCAGAACTGAGAGGAATGATTATTGACTATCCACTGGCGAAATAATGACCGGTTCTCTCAAAATTGCTAATAATAAAATTGCTTGTGTTAGAGAGCCAGACTCAGAAGATGATGTCTCAACAAGGATAATTGTAACATTCCAATGTTGACTTCATTAATAAGAATCAATGATGGAATTACCACATTTGAATTTTAATATACTACTCATGTAGCTGTGTTTGTAAATCTTCGTAGAAACACAGTCATTAAAGCATTTATTGGAAGTCTGGCAGACATCGACATCAAGCTCTCCGAAATGAAAAAATAACAACATTGACATTATAATGTATACAGTAGCGTCTTTATCATCATCATGGACGGCACTCAATGATTCCATCAGACAGCACACTGAGGTTACCGGCATATACAGATTTTCAATAATCTCCAGTACACATACATCATTTACCATAAATTTAAGGCGTTATGCAGTCTTCATTCCGTCTGGGTCTATGTTAGTGATACTGGATATAAACAATGAGGAACCATTTGTTGTGGACCCGAGCAAGAAAAATCGTCATGTTGTACTAATTGTGTCGTAAATTAGTCGCTGACCTACTTAAGATATACAATGAACCATTCAACTGACTTTGTTTCAGCGAAACATTACAGATACGAGAAAGTGTGCTTGTTGCAGACCCAACTGAAAAAAAAGATGATTGATAAGGTTTCAGGGAAATAAAACATATCGGAGACGTGTCGTTTTTACTGACATTTATTCTGCACCCTTAGTTGTCGGTGGAAGAACAACTATAAGTACATCATTGTCAGTCATATATATTATATAATATCACCAATAATAGGAATTGGTGTTGAATCTATAACCGATGGTGCTGATGTTCTAAATATCATCTCAAAATGATATCCACGTGTGCGACTGATACATTACACGAGTATGCAATGCTGGTATTAGCGGCAATAACAGACGTACACGCTAAATCATCATCGTTTATAACATCATGGCTCAAAAGATTGAATAAGATACGGAATTCGAAAAAAGTAATTATGGTTTACCATAAATCAACTGGAAACTAATTTGCTTTTTCTCCTGCCATAGATCCCTAAATTAAATAAGGAAGTACACAATAACGTCACAAGAATTGCTAGAAACAAATAGTCGCTAATACAACAACACCAATAACCTCAATGATATCAGCGAACTCAACCATTCAAGAATTAGAAGTTAGTTTTCCAACGGCAATATCAGCCAAAGAAATAGCGTTAGCACAATATCCATTATATTACAGATGGCCAAATATTATATCAACATCATTTAGTGAATTGCAAGCAAATGACTCATTAGTGTTTTCGTAAAAAAATAAATCCGATCCAACTTTATACTGGAATGTTGTGGTATTCCGTATACAGGTAGTTATCAATATTGAATTCCATCGCAGGTTTAAATCGATTGCAGGAAAAGAATTCAAAATCGCTAGAACGATTTGAGAGCCAACATTATCTGTCACGATATAAATATCGACACCCGATTACGCCATCCACATATATCAACCATCTATCGGAACTGTGTGAGGATGGACAGATGTAGCACCTGTGCATCAAGGACCATCAGAACCTCAAGATAGTGATTAGATTTCAGACATGAAAGCGTACGGAATTTTTTGTGGTGATCAATAAAAGCTACCCCTCCTGCATTGGTGGTACATTGAAAGTTCTCGGATTTAATTTCAGTCTTGACTTAAGATCTCCCCGTTAGAATGATATGGGAATTCGATTCCGAAAGTCCATATTATACAGTCATGTGGCGAATTTTTTGAAGACCTATTGAAACCTAAGGTCGAATAAATTGTGCTTTGAAGTAACCTTAGTCAAGCTATAAATATATTGAGAAAGTTGAATGATTATTTGGAATTTCATCTCTAGAACATTAAATGGTATACGCTTAAGCTTCAGTAGCATTGATTGGGCTGTTTTAACGTTACAGTGACAAACGTGCATTAGAAGCCCGACTGTATCGGTTCAAAATGGGCGCACGTCAAATAATTGATTCTCTAAATGAAAGCTAAGCTAATTGCAACATGTTATTAAGCTGTGAAAATCTGATAAAGAGATGGTTATTTGGAGAGAATTTTGTGAACAGGTATTTCCTATTGGTCAAGGAAATTAAGGTCGTAGGCCTACACTTGAAAAACCAGAATTTAGGGTACCGAATTTCGTAGAATTCTTCAGTCGAGAATCTTGCTTGGGAGAAGTCATATTGACTTCTTTGGGAACAATAGAATTGTGTTTCCCTCGTTATCGAAGAAAAGTCAGATAGCTGTCTTTAAAATGAAGACAGGCTATAGGCTAGGACAAAGCTGTGTTGGAAAAAAACGGCATTAACAGCTTCATACTCCGAGAGAGAATGAGAGAAGGAGAAAGGGAGGAGAAAAAGAAAAAAACAGATAAGTTAAGGGGAAATTCACTACTCGTAACATGATGTAAATTTAACACTGCGACTAAATTCTATCAATGTGAATCAAATGGATTGAACG